AAGAAACTGTCAAACTGGCCTCTCCCTTAATAATCCATCTAATTTATTTATTCCCAACTTACCTGTTTCAGAATTGCTACATTCAGGTTGATTTTCTCAAATTCCCCAGATATACCATGCTCACCTCCACACTTTCATTAAAGTAGCTCTACTTGCCCAGAAAACCCTGCCTTTTCTCCTAAGCATATCAAGATGCTAATCACCTCTCCTCTTCTGAGTTGCTGCTGTAGCTAGGGCATCTCTTGCTTAATTAACAAGTATCTTGTGTTTTGTGCTAAATCATAATCTTAAAATTAGGGATTATCCCAACTACTCAGGAGGCTGAAGCAGGAGGATCACTGGAGTCCAGAAGTTGGAGGCCAGCCTGGGCAACATAGCGAGACCCCATCTTGGAAAAAAACATAGGGATCATATCTTCACTTATTGTGTATCTTGCACAGTCCTTAACAGAAAACTGAGCAGATATCAGACATCGAATAAATACTTACTGATTCTCAACCTGTGACCTGCGGATCTTTTAAATCTATTCCTATTGACTTCAACTGCAGTTTTAACTCAAATTACAATTGTGAAGTAATAATGAGATTCTGGAGGTAACATGGCCAAAATTGTGTATAGTGCATTGCGATTTAGAAAATACTCTTATAGTCTATGATCTTTACAAGTGGATAGGAGGCATGCACTGTCCCTATTTTATAGATGAGGAAACTGAGACTCAGTGTGGGTAGTCATCTTGCCCAAAGTAGACCCGCTGATAAGTGACAGAAATAGATTAGCCACAGTATGACAGGGCCATGGGAGCAGTGTGCTTTCTGTCACAGCCCTAGAGAGAGCGGAGTGTTAAGGGAGGTGTGGTGAGGGACTCTTATAGAAACACAGCTCTGCGGGCAGCTTTCAGGAAGCTCTGATGGTCGCTCCATCGTGTGAGGGCTCCATGAATGGACCTGTGGAAACTCTACCTACATTTGGGCACCCGCTATCTGGAGCATGTGTTGGAAGCCCGGAACCAACCGAAGCATCTCTGTGGCCCTGAATGTTACTGAGGAGAGATGCAGCCACATTGAAATGCCAGATGATAGAAGCAAGTGGCCAAGCAGTGTAGGCATTTTTGCCAAGTTGGAAGGGGAGCAAGTGTGACTAAGCCAATGGGACTAGAGGTGGCAAACAATTCGTGTCTGGTTGGAATCAAGCTCTGTGTTGGCGATAACACTTCCAGAACAAGCAAGGGTGACCATAAACTCGTGTTCCAAGGAGCCCTGTAAAGGAATGAGCCGCACACACTCATGCTATTTAGCAGAAACCCACTAATGGGGCCCATCTTCTAACCTCAGCAAGAACAGCGATGTCGACAATGTCATTGCCAGGCTTCCCCTGCCTGCTGCTAGCCCAGCAGAAGCTTGTAAAGGCAGAACCTCGGGGCCCAGACGTCTTGTTTCTGCTGCTTTTGCCAAAGAGTTGCTCCAGAGGAGGTTTGCATTGTGTTATAATCACATGGTTTGCAAAATGATAGTTAAGAGTCTGTTAGCATTTCCACCCCAAACCTCATATTTTCAGCTGCTCACAGTGACTCAAATATAAGAATTCTCTTTAGGCTGAAATTTGGCACACAGGGTCTCAGGCCCAGCTGGGGAGCAATTTCAACCTTTTTTTGGGACCGGATTTCAATAACATCCATTTGGCTGTTTTTGAATAACAGCAGAAGTACAACAGAAGAGAAGTTAGCATTTTTATAGCAAAATGTTGCCATTATGTGACTCAAGAATTGGTACGGAGGGGTGTGGGGAACCCACCCTGGCAACTCCCAATAAACCCTGGCAGGTAATTAGCCTTTGAGTGGACTAAGCATGTATACTTTTTTCTTAAATATGTATTAAAAAACCCAACTGCTAGTCTGTTGTTCAGAACAGAGGAGAGATTGTGTTTAATAACATATTGTGTTTTTGAAAAGCAAAGTTGACTCAGGAACAATGACACATACCAGTGGATATTGAATTTCTGCTACACCCACTCCTTGGTGCAACTGGGGCAGTGGCAAATTATAGGATGCAACTGAGTCCCCAAATGTACGGGGAAAAAACTGTGAGGGGGTAGGCGACGGGGAGGGGAGGGCAGCACTGTGACCACAAAGAGGATATGAGGAATATTCCTGATGATCTAAGATCACGGACCTGAGATCGGGTCCTTCTTTCTGGAAGGAAGAAGACATCGGAACTCAGATCCTTTTCTGCTCCTCCCCACTCACTAATGACAGTACATCAAATTACAAACGACAGATTCCAAAAAAGCAAAATGATTCCAAGCTTGTTTTGTTTTTAATGAAATATTTCAGGGGGAAAAAAAATAAAGAATAACAAAACACATACTCATGTATCCACCACTTGTTATATGAAATAAAACATTGCAAATACAAAGTTCTCTCTGTGTATTTATTTATCAGCCATTTTGATGATTTCCTTATCTCTTAATGTGAAGATTTATTGTTCTCTTAATACACAATGTTACATCTCCAATTTGTATTTCATGGAAGTAATTATCTATGATTCCTTCTCCTCTTCCTTCTATCTTATTCAAGCTTATCTAAATTCTGTTTAAATTTATGCATTTTCTTCCTAGAAGTTCCTGGGTTTCACCACTGAACAGTAGTCACCTGTACCAAGGTTGGCAACCTGAGATTCAAAAGCACCTTTCCTAGTTAAAGTCACATGAAGACCATTTTCCTCAACCTCTGCCAAAATGGTACCCCAGCATACCTTAGGAATTTTCTGGTAGTTACATTATAGGGATTGATCCCCGGCACCTTCAAATTCCAGCCTTCATATACATTCTGCCACATTGAACTGCCTCTTCTGCAGTCTAGGAAATCCACCCCTGGCGTGGCCATCAACACCACCCCTTCTGTGCTGACCAACACCTTTGCGAACAAAAAACCTTGATTTACAGGCACCTTGATTCCATGTGAGCTGTAGCCGGTGCTGTCCTGACGGGCTAACCATGATCTCAGAGACAGCTTCTAGCCAGACTATAAAGAAACTCAGTCACGGCCGGGCCCGGTGGCTCACGCCTGTAATCCTAGCACTCTGGGAGGCCGAGGTGGGCGGATTGCTCAAGGTCAGGAGTTCCAAACCAGCCTGAGCAAGAGCAAGACCCCGTCTCTACTATAAATAGAAAGAAATTAATTGGCCAACTAATATAATAGAAAAAATTAGCCAGGATGTCAGCGCATGCCTGTAGTCCCAGCTACTCTGGAGGCTGAGGCAGCAGGATTGCTCGAGCCCAGGAGTTTGAGGTTGCTGTGAGCTAGGCTGACGCCACGGCACTCACTCTAGCTTGGGCAACAAAGCGAGACTCTGTCTCAAAAAAAAAAACAAAAACAAAAGAAACTCAGTCAATCATCAGATCTCGAGATACATTTGGGGCATGAAGTCTCAGTGCAGCTGTGTGTGCAAATCATGGTAGTTCCCTCTTCAGAAGCCACCCCCAACCATGCCCCTCTCATAGACCCCTGATTTTGTTCGTGTGCCTCTGGAAGGCTGGGCCCCTCTCCAGCCCCAGGGCAAAAAGCAGCACAGCATAGTGATTAAGGGTCTGGGTTCACGATTCCTTCATTTAGTACTTGCGTGACCTTAGATAAGTTACTAAGACTGTGTGGGTCTCAGTTTGATTCCTCTTGTCAGAGATTGTTATAGCCAATATGCTATGGGTGGCAGAGTTACAAATGCAAAAAACAAAAAAACTTGGGAAATTGTTAAATGCTGTTGAGTCACCAAATTAAAGCAACCATAGAATATAAACTCCCTGAAGGCAGAGATTATTGTCTCCTTTATTCACTCATAAATCTCTAGCACCTAGAACAATGCCTGGCACATAGTAGTTGCTCAATAAATACTGACCAAATTGAACTGATGTGAATCCCAGACTCACCAAATTTCAGGCAAGACTTTTTGTTATGTGAGATAATAAATACCCTATTACCCTGTAGCCCAAAACTCTTGATAAGCAAATATCATTTGTCTGGACAGTATCATCCTTTTCCAGCAACTGGCCCCTCCCCACATACACAAACATGGTTATGATGAGAGCTGAGTTAATACATTGTGACCCTGTGGCTACCATTAATTCATTCAGGGGTAGGTACTCTACCCAAACTGGACCAATCTTAGTCCTTTCCCAGGAATTTGGAATCAGAGTGAGATTCGCACGCAGTCTTGCTGCTGATTGAAATGGAGGAAACATGAAGTTGTAGCCTACTGGCTGTCGTGTTTCCCAGGTGCACCAGAGCAGGTTAGCTGTCAGCAAGGCGAGAATGAAGCAGACCGATGGGCGAGACAAAGACAATAGAGAGACAGACAGAGAGTCCCTGTGGTATTCGAGTGTGGTTCCAGTTGTTTTTGAGACCCACCTACATTCCAGTTCTTGGAGTCTGGGAAACATGGATTTTCTTATAATAAAGTCTCGTTTCTCCTTAGGCTATTCTGAGTTGGGCTCCTGCTAATTGCAGAGAAAAGATCCTACAAGTTTTTTTGTTTTTAATTATAACTATGAATTCTGAGCAAACCACACCTCACTTCCTATAACTATTATGTAGACCCATGAAAAGTAAACACTTTAAATAAAATAGAAACACTGAGGGACAAATATAACCTAAAACATAACCCTAAAACCTTTGCAAACTTACATGACGAACAAACTATAGAAGCCCAGTTCTCAAATCTACCTTTAAGCCGCTCTTTACAACACTTCCCAATCCAATCCTCTTTGTCCATACAAATATGTTGATCAAGAGCTTCTTCAAGGTTTCTAAAGCTGTGCTCTAATACCATCCCCTGGCTTTTCCATGTGGAAAACTCAGTACCTGGAAAACCTTTCTCTTCTAGCTGTTTGGTACATAATTCCTGAAGTTCTCCCTTTTTCTAATCAGCTTCAAATGACTTCATAGTTTTGCTTTTATTTTTCTTTGAGGTCTCAAGGCACAATTGCAAGTACTAGCTATGTCTACCAACCTGAAACTGGCCGGGTTCCATGTTGATAATTTTTCACCAGATCATAGGGACCATCTGGTCTGAGGCCACGACTCTGTTTGCCATTCATGCAGCTGCCTGCACATCTGTAGGTTCTGATGCATTCTTTTATTATTGCCTGCTTCCCATTGCATGTTGTCAAAGACCTGGGGACTGCATCTGTTTGAATTTTGTCTGTAGAGCTCCGAACATAGAACAGTGTGTGGTTAAAGAACACAGAAAACATTACTCTCAGCAAACTGGATTTATAAAAGAGTCATGATGAATGGAAATGATGAGATAAATTTGAGCCCAGGAATAGGGACTGAATTCTGTATTTACCTCCTACCTAAGAATGATTACTTTAAATGTTCCCACATTGAACTACCTTATCAATGCTTTGAGCTGAGACCCGCTCACACAATGATTATTTCCTTATAAATACTTGTTATTTAGTTGAGTTAGCTGTTTAAATATTAATAGTTTTTATACTGGGTTTGTAGAATTGTTCATCATATATTCTTACTCTTTAACATGCATTCCCCTATTCTCTCTCTTTCTCCCCCACCCCAACACACACACACAGACACACACGTTCATTTGAAAAATCAGGCCTTAAGGCTGGGTCTATACTTGGCCAACATCTTCAAGGTCACTAATGTTACTTCTTGCCTCTCCTGTGTGGGAGCCAGAGAGTGAGTCATCAGGGTGAATAATGACTCTGTAATACTACCAGATTGTGTTTGTCTCCACTTCAAAGCTCTTAGTTTGAACAGAATAGTATTTCTCCATTCCGCCCACCCAAACAGCAGTCTAGATGGCTGAGAGCTAACAGTTAGATGAACAGTAGTATCATTTCCATAGGGTGGACTCTTACCCCACCTACATTCCTCAAAATACTAGCAGGACCCCCTGCGGAAGTTCTCATGTTATATTCTAGTTGGGTTTTGTTGACTAGAGATCACAGCTCATCACCTGTTTTCCTTTCATTTCCTCTCCTTTCCTTTCCCCTTTCCTTTCCTCTTTCTTTCTTAGCCTCATCGAGGACTATAATTATGCCTCTCCTGATCAGTCTTCAGTTACTTCTTGTCCCTTTAGCTCTTCACTTTCTTTTCCATAAACTCATCAGTATTTATGACTTTGAGTTGGGGATTGGGGGGGGGGGGTTGGGAGGGAGAGAGAACTCTTCAGATCCAGGAATCTATTCCCATTTCACAGCGTCCTCATGTCTCCTCTTGTAATAACTCTTAGTTTTAAAAGTCATGTGACTTTGGTGACACTAAAGCGCAGAGTGGCCAAGATGGACAGAACAATGGTGGGACTGCCATTACTGAGCATCTAACCCTGGTGTCAGGTGGTTCATACACACATTTCATTGACTCTCCACAACTGAAGGAAGTCTTATTATCTTTTTTACACACAAGAAAAGTGAGATTTAGAGATATTGAATAACTTGCCCAAGATTATAACTACTAAGCAGAAAGGAGGAAAACATCTAACTCCGTGTGGTCCCAAGATCCATGCTTTATTTTTTGCTCAGCTACTTGGTGAGAGAGGATATATTAACCAGTCTAGATTTCCTAGTTTTTCCATGCTCTGCTTTTCTTGATGCCAATGTATAGGATAATATGAAACAGTACAGTTTTCTCTGATCATTCCTACATCACTTCCCGAAGCACCTTCTTCTTGTTGCCAATGGCATTTAGGTATAGCTTCCCTACACTAGTGAAGAACATATCTTAGAAATTTTGATGGTCCTTACTCATGTCCTATGTGTGCTAAGCAAATTTCGTCTAGGCCTAGTGGTGTGATATACTCTACCATCCAAACTGGGACACTTTTGAGATGAAAAAGAGTGCTGTTAATAATTATGCTGGGCATCCTGGAATCTATGGCCACCCTCTTAGAACAAACTAAAGCCAACTTAGTGTCTCCTGTGGACAAGGAAGGTGGCACTAGTCCAGGCTTAACTGAACACTATGTAAAACAGGAGAACAGAGGTTGTGGGTAAGAGAAGCTAGATCTGCCAGATGCCAGTAGCTTTGTCTTGCTAACAACTGCTGCATTTCTGGGTCTGAGTGTGTATGGTAGAAAAGGGAAGGTAGCTGGAATCACTCAGTATCCCCACTTCTTAAGGAAGTAGTGCTTGAAAGTCAGTGTGCTTGAGAATCACCAGTCATTTTTAAATAAAATGCGGATCTCTGAACTCTATACCTTAGAGATGCTGAAAATATAGTCTGAGGTGGGCCCAGGAAACTGCAACTTAACATGCTCCTCTAAAAATTTTGATCTGGGTAATTTTTCAACTACCCTAGGCAGAAAAACAGTATTTTATGATATAAAATCTCTACATACTCACTGTACAAAGACAGGCACAATTTCAGAGGAAGTTCCTGTGGGACTCAACAACACAACAGGTTACAAGATTAAGATTTGTTCACAGATACTATCTGTATGGCCTGAATCACTATTGGAATAAAATAATTTAAACCACATGAACCTTATAATTACTTTCAACATAGATGCTCAGGGACTCTTAGCCAAATATATATGTGTATGTGTGTGTGTATTTATGTTTATATATATGCTATTATATTTATTCTTAGTATCTTTATCTTGTATTCAGAGAAAAGAGAGAACATTTTGTGTGCTTTCTGATAATCATAGTAATAATATCTGTCATATATTGAATAATGTACTTATGTCAGGCATTTGTATACATCACCTTGAAGACAGAGACCATCAAAGGTAAGTTATAGGAACTTTGTTTTATACTTAATGGATCACAGGCTCAGAGAAGTTAGGTCACTTGCCCGAAGCATCACAGTAGTCTCGGGCAGAGTCAGAGTTGCAATCTGAAACCAGGTCGGCTGCCTCACACTTGAAATATTTAGTGAACTCACAAGCACCCTGTGAATACTGAAAAATACTTGTTGGAAGGCCACATCATGCATGTTAGCTAGTGTGATTGTTCAAGAATACTAATTCCTAGACAGAGAGAAGACCTGAATGGTGACTTTGAGACATGCTAAAGCATTTTTTTTTAATATAAAAAAGCTAAATAAAGCCAATATTGGTTAAAATTTGGGAAACTACGAGTCAACAGTTAACCATTTTCCAGGCTAGCCTTTGGATTTATTTCTCTTTTGTTGCCTGTGCTGCTGCTACACTCTTTATTCATATTTTCAAGGAAACACAAGCAAAGCGAATGTTCTCTAATTGCACTCCCTTCCTGCAGTAAGCCTGCTCCCTCTGAGCACCACGGGCTGGTGCCACACGCAGCTCATCGTGTGGAAGGGCTGGTGGCAGCTGCAAGTTGGTGTGTGACACATTGAGTAGTCATATTTCTCTTCTCTGTGGCCCTCCAAAGCCCTTTCCAACATAACTTTTCCCCATCTGTTCTCGTTTGCACTGCATAATAGGGGACAGGTTTTGGAACTTGGGATTCAAAAAAACATTAAGAGAAAATAAAAATGAGATGGAATTTGAGTAGAAAGAAACTCACTGGCTTCCCCCTCCACTTCCCCTCCTCGGTTGCTGGGATCACTACCAGAGTATTAAATCGATTAAGTTTTTACTCTGGTCTATTTGGTTCTCTTTATGAGGTAGTGGGGAAATGTGAGAGCATTAAAAAAAATCTTTTTAAACTGTCTGCATAGCAATGAGATAGGTGGCAGGGCTGAGTCATTAGCAGGGATGGCATTGCCCAATACCTGACTTAAAGTTTTTCCACATTTGCTTAGAATCTCTAATAAGTTACATTAATTGTCTCAGGCTTAAGGTTCTTCTCTATAAAATGGATGCCTGATGTGAATTTTAGGATATTTTGAGACAGCGTTTGCTGAAGTGCTATAAAGCCACCTCTGTGCATATCCTGAGTGATTTTGGAAATGATACAAACATCTTTAAATTTTAATAGAGATAAATTTCTTCTAATATGCATTGGGGGAAAAAAACTGCCAGTAGCACAATATACTTTTGATTTCACAATGTATTTCTTTTTGCTTAGGATGTGGCTAAACTAGGCATTTAAGATTAAAAAATGAACAAATTTAAAGAAGAATATTCGGTAAATAATAAAAGTTAATATGGTAAAACAAAAACAGAGAACAAGAATGGCTGCGTTTAAAAGCACCTATATCAGAGCAGTCGTTCTTTTATTTTTTTGTTTATGTTTTCTGAAAACCTTTATTGTATAGGCCTCAGGTTCCCAGTGTTAGATCAGTCATAATCCTTGGGTAATGCACACTATCATCATTGGTCCAGCAGGGGCTTATATTCCTTCTCACATAGCAGCTGTCTTTGAAAATCTGATGAAACTTATAGATTTCTCTGGAAAAAGTATATTCCCATATACAAACTTATATGGGATTTTTCTGGATTTTCAGGACCATTTGGGGTGCATCTGTGGTCTCCTGGAGGTTTCAGGCATGTCCAAAATTGTGTCTACTTGTTTCTCTGCTTTCTGGAGTTCACAGGTCAGCAGTAGAGAATTTATGCCACATCTTCTTGTTTTCGTTTGTTTCTTTTCCTTTTAGAGACAGGGTTTAGCTCTGTTGCCCAGGCTGGAGGGCAGTGGCATCAGCCTAGCTCACTGCAGCCTGGGCTCAAGAGATCCTCAAGAGCTCAAGAGCTCAAACTCCTGGGCTCAACAGATCCTCCTGCCTCAGCCTCCCAAGAAGCTGGGACTGTAACCTTGCATCACTGTGCCCAACTAATTTTTTAAAAAAAATTTTGTAGAGATGGGGTCTTGCTACGTTGCCCAAGATGGTCTTGAACTTCTGGCCTCCCAAAGTACTGGTATTACAGGCATGAGCCACTGCACCTGGCCAAGCCACACCTTCTATATTTCTGCAAGAAACACCATGTTCCCTCACTGTAAGCCCAGGGAAAACCTACCCAGCCTGCTGCCTGTGATCATATAGATAGTATAGAAAATATCCACTCTCTTGTCTAGCTCCCCACTTCCATCTTTTTTTAAACAGAAATACTACAAAAATGTCTGCAGTTGGAACTTTTTATTATTGTTTTTCCAGCTCACCTCCTCATCCCTTGGGATCTGCTCCTTCCCACTCCAACAGCATGGTGCCATGAGAGCTGCCATCTCTGCTGGCGGGTCCACAGACAGGCATCTGTCCCAAGCCAGACCAACCAGTATCTTTCCACTTTCCACATCAGAACTTGGAAAGTACATGCTATGAAATTCAGGGGCAAGGGGGGCCTTGTTTGTTAACTATGTGGAGAAGAGTGCTAGGTGTGGACAGGGGTACTATAAACAGTTATGACGATATTGATTCCCTCGGCAGAGCCCTTTGGAGCTGAAAATGTTTTTAGTAATCAATTCCATAACTCCCACCATCACTCTCCACCCTGTTCTCCAAATACCCAGTTATTATGAGGAGGATGATGATAATATTAATCAGAAGAGCATCTACTGAACACATCCCAGGCACTGTACTAGCTCCACTGCATATATATCTATGTCCTCATCAACATCCTCCGCTCCCTCAGGAGGCAGGTAGCACTATCTGCTCCATTTTACAGAAAAGAACACTGAGATTACAGGGTCAGAAAGTGCTAGAACCAGAATATGGAATCAGGACTGCCTCACTCAAGAAACTATTCCTTCTTTTCAATTTTTGAATAGGTAATTTATTCAAATAGTCTTTTTCGGTTCTGTTCAAACTTAGCGAAACATTTGCCCTGTCCTTTCCTTCCTCCCTGTTGTTCCAGGCCCCATCCTGTCTCTGAGAATTTGTGTCCAATTATACCAGCCAACACAGATGTATGTCCTTCCTCCTTTTTCCACTTAAATGGTAGTATATGGTAGCAAGCGATCCATTTTCCTGAACCTTGCAGAGTTTTTTTTTTTTCTTCACTTACCACTATATTGAGGAGCTCAGTTCATATCAATACATTAAGAACTTCCTCATTATTATTCTTTTTAAAAAGCTTCATAGAGTTCCATTGTAAGGATGTATCATAATTTCCTGATTTAATATCCTATTGATAGACATTTAGGTCATTTTCAGTCTTTTGTTTTTATTAATATATATATATATATGTATAGTGCTGCAATGAAAACCTTCTACATCCATCTTTTCACAGTTGGGTGAGGAGATCTGTAGGAAATATTCTTAGAATGGAATTGCAAGGCCAAAGCGTATGCACATGTATAATTTTGCAAGGGAATGTTAAATTGCCCTCCATAGACCTTGTACCAACTTTCCACTTTGGCCATAATGTATGAGAGTAACTAGCAGCATTCTTCATGATTTCAAGTTCTTCTACACCCACGTTTTAAAGTTTCATCTGCTCCAAAATGTCTTAAGTTGCTTTACTAAAAAGAAAAACAAAACTCTTATGCTCAGTTTCTGCCCCCTACCCACCTTCCCTACACACATACACATAATTTTTTGTTGTGCATTTTCACCTCCTTTGCTTAGAGCTCCCCCTATCTTCCAAAGGAAGCTCAGGGAATAAAAGGTGGGTAGGGCTCGGGACACTCAGCAAGTCACTCTGGCTTAACCACTCAACCAGCTGATGGTGGATCAGGCATCTCCAGCCCAAAGGCCCCTGCCTCCAGCCTTCCTGATAGTTCGCCCCAGTTATGAATACATCTTTGGAACCCTGCCACTTTATTCTTCACATTCTTTGGAAGGTTAACGACTTTTTGAAGATCTAAAACAGTCCCTCCTCAGGAAGTGGTAAAAATCTCTTGGAATAACAGAAACAAGTCTTGAAAGAGCTGTTTAGTTCATCTGCGTCTTAGGCCAATTAAAAATCACAAAAGAAACAATGATATGCATAAAAATTCCAGATGATGTAATGGGCAGTGACCAAACTCTGATAAATGTATATGGATACTGTCCTTTATGGACAATCAGAAAATATCTAAAAGAGGAACACACACATCCCCCACTCTCTCTTCTTCACAAATTCAGGCCCCTTCCCTCCACTTTAGGTCATTTTAGATATCAATTATTTAGCCAAGAAGCAGCAGAAGCAGCATCCTCTTTGTGGTAATAAGGCTTTGTCTTCACAGGAAGTCAAGTTCAGTTCGGAAACTTTCAAACATGGTTTTTAAAGGCTTTTGTGAGTCCACTGTTAGTGAATCACACAAAAGGGGCTTTTATTAATAAGCATATTCTGTTCATTACAGATAAATGAAAGCCTCAGAATAATTCACCAAATGTTTAAAGGGAAAACAAAAACAATATGGTAAACATATCAGGCCTTGATGAGCTGTCTAGGTAATTGGTTGTTTCTGCGCACCTGGTTCAAAAGACAATATTTAATGTGTAATCTGTTTCGTTTGCTTGGGGAAGTTAAGTGTAACTCTACCCCCTGGATCACATCTGCATTAAAATGAGGGGAAGGCAGAGTCTCGTTTCAGTGAGTGGAAATTTATGCACATGAGTTGTCTTTTACATGGAGACAGCAATTATACCCCTAGAAATGCAGTCTGTGGGAGAAAATGACATATTCAACACTGGGGAACAAAAGCCTGATGCTAAGGGGACATTAACAAGGTTGGGAACCCCTTCCCAACAATTAACATGATCATTTACAAAATCTGCAATCTATAAAATTATTTTAAAAACATGTTTCTCAAAACAATGTGGTTTTTCTTTTTCCCAAAAAGAAAAAAAAAAAATTCAGCAGCAACCATCTAGAATCTATTAGCTACTCCACGGTGGCAAATAATATTTTAAAATCTCTACCATATATCTGAGGATTGAAATAAATAAACATCAGGGAGTGGTACGTGATCCCGGGTTTAACAGTCTTATAAGGACCCAAGGGGAAAATGTGGCCAAGAATTTTTCATTTTTATGTGGGGAAGTTATGATGTTTAAAAACAACAATTCTTAATCAGAATTTTAAAATACAGAAAGATTTTTTTTTAATCGAGCATATTCAAATAAAAGTCTTTCTTAGCTAAAACTCTTTTTTAAAAAAGTGATTTGTTGGTTGATTTTATTAATGTCAAAAAGCGCAAAGCTGGAGCCATTAAAATGAATTTAAGTTTTTGCTTCTCCTATCTTCTTTGGTGACTTTAAGAAATGGATGAGGAAGGATATGTTTTCTGTTCTGAATGCCCGTGTCCTCTCCACCTTTGTACTTCCTGGACAAACGGACAGGATTTATTTCTCACACTGAACTTCACTTCATGTACTCATTGTATCACCAACAGGAAACTACAGGCCCTGCTTAACTAAGGTAGAACACAGTAAGTCAATGAAACCTGTCATTTGTTTTTAAAGTTCTCTAAGTTTTTAATGCTTAATCTTAATTTTTGGTACATGTGTATGTGCATAATCTTTGCTGAAGTAGTTTTGCTTCAAAATCTCAGTGAAAGCACTAGTACTTTTTACTGATTTACTCTGCTGTTTATTTATTTATATGGGTTTTTGGAAAATGAGTGGTTTTTCAATTAATTTTGATATATTTTCAGAAAGTAACATTGATAGGGTAACTTCACGGGGTAAGCTGCAAATTCTAAATCCTGAAAAATACTAGGTATTTTAGATGTAAATAAACATGGAAGAAGGAGAGTTTTAAATGTTTCTAATATTTTCAGAACCACCATGACAGTAAAATCATAGATATTGTAAAATTATAGCATGGCAATGTGATATATAGGAAAGGGCACAATAGAATAGGGTTAGAAGACCTGAATTCTACTCTGTATTAACTACTTCTTTTGGAGGAATTCACACAAGCTCTTTAAGCCTCTATTTCTTCAACAGTTGGGAAAAAAGTAAAATGGCGAAGCCCACTGACCTGGTTTCACCAACAAGTCAATGTCACCGTCACCATCATCATCATCATCAAGAACAATAGTAACCAAAATGGGTAGGGGAAACAAAAAAGAAGAGTGGGGAGGACTAACTGATTTCAAAGTTAAAAGAGACTTAAAAGGCTGAACAGTCAAATGCAGTAAGTGGTCACTGCCTGGCAGCTGATTTGACAAAAGGCCTTTCTGAGAAAATTCAGGCAATTAGAATCTGAACGGGGATCGAAGTATACAAAAGAATCATTAATTTTGTTAGGAACCATTACTTTTCTTAGATGAGAAAATGCCATTATGGTTATGTAAGAAAATGTCCATATGTCTTAGAGATGCTTATTGAAATATGTAGGGATGGGATGACATGATGGTTGAAGTTTACTTTAAAATACTCCCCCCCCCCCCAAAAAAAAAAAAAAGTAGAAAATAGATGAATCAAGCCTGGCCTGATCTTGATAATTGCTCAACCTGCTGATAGACAAATAGAATTCGTCATACTGTTTTTTCTCTTTTTGCTTTTGTTTCAAAATTCATTAAACAGAAGTCCTAACATTATCAAATTCCCAAAAAGAAAAATTAGAGGCTGTATTAAATTATTTATAAATTCTCTTCAAAATTGAAAATTTCATCATTCTATTTCAAAAGCTGAATAGTGATGACTGTAAAAATACAAATGTTTGTTTTAGTTTGAAAATCAAATACTATCTAATTAAGACTGTGTTCTCATGATTAAATTTCACTGCTGCCTAATATGTAACTAAGAATCAAGTGGAAGCAGACAATTCACTGTGGAAAAACTTCTGATGATCCCTTGATTTGTCCACAAATCTACATTTGCTTTGCCAACAGGGAGCCTCTGGATCTTTAGCAGTGATAGAGTAAGCTCATCTCAGCTCCATGGGACATGGTGGAGAACCGCCTTTGATGTGCGTCAACCCAGATCAATATGTTGCCCTTTTTTTCTCTCTTTTCACCAAATGGATGATGTGGCTATTTTCTATCCAAAAATAATCACTGTCACCAATAATTTTTTTCCTTATTGGATGTGTATTTCTTTTCCATTCCAAGGTCCTTCCCTTATGGAGAGATTCAAATGCTTTCACATTTCACATTTTGAAACTCCAGTTTCGTAGATGTGATCAGTGACATCTTTAGCTGTTAAAGAGTGGGACGTTTATTTCCTTCATTCCAAATTGGATCTCTGTGTTAGCAACTGAAGGATTTGGTAACCTTTCGTAATCTGTGCTAGAGCACTAGGAGGAACTGAGTCATAGTCAAACTTCAGACTGTTCATTGGTTTAAAAACTCATGTTTGTCAAAGAGAAAAGTAAAATGAGATTTGGTGCATTTTATACTCTAGTATACCCTAGTCTATCTGGCTCACTATTGATATTAACCTTTACAGGGATGGATGGACTTGGTTGAACACAGTGTATCTGACTACTTAGGAAAATCAAACGTTATATAATGTAGTTTTTATATTATTATTAGTATCTACAATATTATTTTCGGGGCTTTAGAATGAAATTGGCCAATAATCGTTTTATCAAAATATTAAAAACTTCTTCCCAGACCATTCCTCCCTCATCTCTAGCAATTATTTTGGTACAATAGACATGAAAAGAATCCCCGGAAGGAAGGCAGCCAAGTACTGCTGCAAATATGTGGAAAGTAATAAGTGAAAACCAGGTTAATCTTTAAAAGTTGTTTATAGATTCAGATTTTTACCTGGTCAGTCCTCAGTATGAAAGAAAAAAAAAAAAAACCCACTTCTTTATACTCACTAACATTCCAATGGAACAATAGGCAAAGGGCATTAACTAAAAAGAAAACTAGAAATATACCAAAACAGTTAATATATTTATGAGCAAGGTATACCTTCATTAACAAATACATTCAAATTTATTTAATTAATTTAAATGTAAGCAGATAATTTTTTAAATTTCCAAATTGGCAAAGATAATAGAGGGTGGGTGACAAAGATAATAAAGGATGTGGTGAGATGGACAAGCCACTGGAAAGAGTTCAAATTACTTACCAATTGGAAATACATGATCTGGATTCTGAATTTTAGGAATCTATCCTAAAAAAATAATGAGATTCTGTCAAAGGTTGTGGTACATCCGTAAGTCAAAAAATCCTATTCTCATAGAACATCTAGTGACCTGGGAAAATACTCATAGCTAAAAAGAGTAAGAGAAAACTACGTGTACTTGTATGTAATATGTGAATATGAATAGAAAAGATGAAGAGAAAGTTATCCGACATATTAAATCTATTTACATTGGACAGTAAAATTAGTTTTACCTTCTTTGAAATACTTTATTTTCTCTGTATGTTTTTTATCATCTATGTCATATTATTTTAACTTTATTTCTAACACATTTGTTTATTTTTATTATAAAAGTAACAACTATTGCAAAATTTTTAGGAAATACAATGTAAAAATAAAAAGTGTAAGTATGGTAAGAAACTGCTAATGGATGCAGGGTTTCCTTTGGGGGTAATGAGAATGTTTTAAAATTAATTTCAGTGATAGCTGCACACCTCTGTGATATACTAAAAATCACTTAATTGAACACTGATTAAAAATCACTTTTAAAATGGGGGAATTGTATGGTATGTGAATTATATCTCAATAAAGTTGCTACCAAAACTAAAAAAACAATATAATGATCACCAGCACTGCCACCATCCCAAGATTACCACTGTCAGGACCTTGGTGCACAGCCTTCCAAACTCATTTCTGTGCATCACACATGCTAGTTTAAAGAACAAAAATTGGATCATACTATGCGTACCACTTAAAAAGTATTTTTAATTACAAAATGTATAACTTCATAATCGAAAGTAAAATCAAACTGGAGGGTGGTTAGAAGAACCAAGTTCTAGTTCCAGCCTTGCCTTAACTAGCTAGAGACCTTGAAGAGTCACATGGCTTTTCAGGGACAAACTTTTTCTAGTATAAAAGGCAGGGTGGGAATAGATGAGATCTTTGGTCTCTTTGGAGTCTAGAGTTCTGTGATTCCCTGAGTGGGCAACACAATAGGATAGTGAAAACTTGGATGTAATAACTTTGTTGTAATAAGGAAGACGATTTATCAATAGGAGACTAGTAATCTGCAAGATGAACTACTACGTTAATTTAAAAAAAGCAAAGGGTAGAAGATTGCACACATTGTTCTTACTCATGTCATCATCTGTGTTAAGGCAAAAGAGAGTACATGTATAATTTCATATATCTAGAACATTTTCTTTAAGGATGTTAAAGAATTATTGAAAGGGAACTCAGTGGCTGGGAATCGATAGTGGTTCTGGAATTTACTTTTCACTATACAATATATCTTTTTGTATTTGTGTATCTTTTAAAAAATAATATAATAATAATTAGGAAAAAAATCTGGTTAAGAATGGAATATGGATGTCTTGGGTATAGCAATAAATGATGTAAAGCAAACTTGTCACTCACTTCTTGCTTAAACCCTTTAATCATGTTCCCCTCCTACCACAAGTGACTTGTGAGACCTGCGTAATTTGGTCAGGCCACCTCAGTCCTCCTCCATGGCCACCTGGCCACTTCACTCCAGTAACCCTGGCCTTCCTAGAAATCTTAAGCTCTTTGTCCCCAGAAATGTCAAATGCAGCATCAGTGACTTCAGATAAATTAGCTTCTTAGGAATTCCATCTCAAGTTGAGGAATTTCAAAACTCAGAGACCTCTAGGGTGCAACTCACTCTACACCTGAGGAAAAACTAGGCTCTGAAATCTGAAGTTACTTGCCTAAGGTCACACAGCTAGTTCTCCACTACATATATGTAATTAACCTTAGCAGCTGCTCTCTGGAGTTTCATTAAACAAAAGTAGGTTAATAAAAAGGAAGCCTTTGGATTTTAGATATTGGTAGAATGGGGCTACATTAGGACTTAGAAAATTAATTTGATTTCTTATCCATGAAATTGTCTTCATGATGCCAACGCTCAGAGGGACCAATCAGGAAAAAGAATGTTTCCTAAAAATGAAAGGCCACTGTAAAGCTGGATTCTACCAAGAACCATGCAGTTATATTTGAAATGTATTTGTTTAATTTGAGGAAGAAATTAATTTGATCTTCCTGGGGGCATTCATCCAAGGAACTAGCTTTTAAAATCCACATTTAAACAATGTAGCTAAATTAACCATAGTTAAGTAAATTAGAAACTCAAGGAACTTCAGAATGTGAGCAAGACCATGGAAAGTCCTGACGGCCATCTATCCCTCCAGGCTTCAAGGAAGTGGGTCACAAAGAGCCCAAGATTCTGGCAAAGGTTGCAGATCAAGGCTGAGTCCTCTGGGAAGTTTTCTTGCGATGGAAATGGACCTACCAGCAGAGCACAAAAATGTCAAATTTGAATTCCATTCTCAACACTGCACCTCCCACTTTGCAAATATAAATCCATATGCATCCCTCACTGGTTAGATTTTGTTCCACAACTATCAGACCTTTTAAAAATATGTGTCTAAGTTACAGAAAAATTGGAACACAGACACATGTAAAGAAGAAAGTAATAAGTACTGAATAAGTAATAATTACTGAATAAGTAATAAGTGCCATGATAAGTACTGAATATCCTAGAATATTTCCTTCTAGTCTTTTTTCTTTGTGTATATGTGACTATCAGGGATGAATGTGCTTATAAGGATTGAAGTCTTATTTATACCTTTGTGCTCTATTTTTTTTTCAATTTATGCTTGTCACCATTTCTAAAGTTATTAGATGCTGATTATTCTTTTAAACAAATTTTTGTGTAACTGATGATTATTTTCATAGCATTAATTCCTGAAATGGGATTAATGTGTCAAATGTTATAAATATTTTTAAGATGTTTGATACATATCACCTAATTACTTTCTAGAAATTGCTTTCCAGTTTACATTCTCCATGGCAACTGTGTCCTTTATAAAGTCAATCTTACCAATAGACAGTATTCTCAATTGCTGACAAATTGTATGAAACATTTTATCTGTTTTGTTTCCATTACTTTTTCTTCAGTTTTTACAGTGAGTAAAATTTTTTTCTAATTCTCATATATAATAGATTTTTTTCTCATCTATTCATGATATTTGTCCAACTTTCTATAGAAGATTCATTTTGTTGATTTGTAAGACTTCTTTCATATATTAAAGATTTTAACCCTTTGAGCATATGTTATAATATGTGTTAATATAATATAGTGTTGCTTCTTCATTTCTTCTTTTGTCTCTTATTTGTTTGGTTTTTTGCTAAAAAAAATTTAGGGGAAATTTTGAGAAAATAGGGAAATATTTTTATGTAGTCAAGCCAACCAATCTTTGTTTCTTCTGCAGCTTTCTTTCTTCCATGGTCCTTTTCCAAAGTAAAGATAAGTATTTACCTATATTTGCTTTGAGTTAATTTATGATTTTCTAAAAAAAATATATTTAACATCTTATTCCTTTTGGAAATATTTTCAGGAATGGTATGAGGGGAGGCACTAACAGAATTTTTGGCAAGTGCTTCAACATCATTTAATGAATAATTTGCACAATAATTTGCACAATTTTGTGATGCCTCTTTTATCACATAGTTGGCCCACAGTCACACACTGGTTTGCACATAACCTGCTGTGTGCCAGGAGTGACTGCACCAACTTCCTTAAACCATAGGCAGCATGAGGACTCCCTGCTTAGCTCTCACAGTTCCCTGAATATGGTAGATGGCCAATAACTCTTGTATGAAATGCACGATTAATGAGTCATTGATACATTTGGGAAAGGTTAACTTGAAGATAAACAAATGTCTGCCCTGACTGGTTTAAACGTTTACCTTTTGGGAAAAAGGGTGCCAAACCCGACAGAATCTTTAGTGCAACTTTCGGCTTTTGATTTTCTCTTCTTCTCTCCACTATTCTGATTTAGTCACTTCGATTTTTAGAATATAATATCAGTTTCTTAGGGCCTCAGGATTAGAACTAAATTTCAGATTCAAGGCCTTTTAATTCATCATTCTCCAAGAACAGTTATGATGCATGCAGCTGGGGTAAGTAGTGTTTCTCACACTTAAGTAATATACAAAACTTTAAAAAATTACCATGGAACTTCAGTGATGCCCCGTTGTTTTTCATCAAAATATTACTTAAATAAACTGCACGTCCTTATAGGTACATAGCAAAAGAGGCAGTAAGATTGTGGTTGCACTCATATGATCCAGAATTTGCATGATTTTGATTTCTTTAATACAGCACTCATTCTTTTAAAAATATCGTAATTGAAGTAAAAGCACAGATTTCATGGATTCATAGAGAACTTGGAGACTCTTAAGAGTGTACGTTCTGGTTCTAGTCTAACAAAACAGAAATTGGAGAATCACTTTACCATAAACCACATTCAATTCTCAAACTTTGCCATTTTTCTAAGCTGTTTGGATGCCTACCCAGTTTTCAATGCTCAATTTTAATGTGAACAGTCACTACACTAGATATAAACTAATCTGCATATGCTTATAACCATTACACAGTTATGAAACCAAAACTAAATATGAACAAAACTATAAAACCAATGCTTCAAATAACCTTAATTAATGAGACAGATGCCATTGTGTCGCTGAACAAAAATGTCTGCTTACATCATAAACTTGGTACTATTGTCTACTCGGAAAACAGGGTTTTTTTTTGGTTCCACATGCCCATTACTTACTTAGTAAACAGGCTTATCTGAATTTGTTCATTCCTTCAACAATTACTCTATTTTTCTTCAAGAAACCTTTAGAAATTGAATGGCAGCATCAATGCATCAGGATTTTCATCAACACCCCAGTTCTTGAATAGCCCAGCAATATTCTGAAGAATTTGCTTCTGGAAGTTGATAACTAAGCTGATTTTTGCTTTATAGGTTTTAATAAAACATATTCTTATCCCATTATGAAATGAAAACTCTGAAACCAAAAAGAAATGGCTTCAAGATGAAAGAAAATTACTCAATGTAGTTACTTAAATATTTTAAGTGAAATAATTTTTTAAAATTATGATTTATAACCTGTGTCCTTACAATCTGAGTGCAGACAGGATGTGGTTATTGTTTGTAAGTCTAAGAGCTTCACTGCAACTGAGAAGCTTCTCTGCAAAATTTTATAAAATGAATTCTCCAAATTTTATAGGAAAATATCATACAGGTCTCTTAGGTTGCTTAAGACCCTGTTTCCTAACAGTTTTTGAAAGCTGTTGACTTTTAGAAATGAACATGTTGATCTGGGCATAAAGGAGGAGGATATGCAGAAAACAGAAGAGATGCCAATTCACAATGCAGCAGGCAATTAATTAACAAGAGTTGTGCTCCTTGAAACATACGACCGAGGAGATCTGAGAATCTCAGAATAACAGAAGATGTATTAATATTTCCTCCAAGTAAGTATACTGGTGTGATTTTCTACCAGAGTTAAATCAATGGATTAGGTCTTGGGGCATGGTGGTGGTGGTTTCAACAGGGGGCTGATTTTGCTCCCCCCCAGGAGACATTTGACAATGTCTGGATCATTTTCAGTTGTCACAACTATGGGGGGAGGGTGTCCTACTGGCATCTAGTGGGTAGAGGCTGCTAAATATCTCACGATGTATAGGATAGCACCCACAACAATTATCTAGCCATAAATGTCAATAGTGCCAAGGTTGAAAAACTCTGGATTATGATGTCCAAGCTGTATCCTTGAGTGCACAGGCTTGTGTAGAGGGCTGGATCCTAGGGTATCCTCTTGCTTTATATATATATATATATATATATATACACACACACACACACACACACACATAATTTATGCTGCAAGGCTACAAGTACCACTCAGAATCCTACCAGACAGTCTCCTAGAACACACGTGGGTCCCAGGAGGGTTGTATTAGAGGGTTTTGCCTCAAGCCAGCTACACAACAAGACACTACCAAAGGAATTACTTAAGGAATAGATAACAGGAACTGTTCAAAACATAACAGAATTCATTAGTTCATTTAGTCACTTATTCAGCAAACCTTTATTGAGCATCCTCATGTACCATTCTGCTAGGCTGGGTGATGCATGATGAACACAGCCAGACCTGGTCCCTGCCCTCATGGAGCTTACAGCCTAGGGGGGACGCTAACGAAGGTTACCAACAAGAGGCCAGTTTGGACAATGGGGATTCCATAAATGTTCATGATTGAGCTTGACAAGCTTTCACATATGTGTAATCTCATATGAACTGCTGCACAACCACCTCATGAGACAGCCTTTATTCCCTTCTTAGATTAACAATGTGCTCAAGGTCATAACAGTTTGTAAGTGGCAGGGCTGACACCACAGCCCAGTGACACTGAGTCCCTATTATATTGCTCCATAGAGCAGGGATACATATAGGCATCTTACCTTGAATGGTCCTGGAATTTCCTCTCCTGATTCCCAGCAATCATATAGGTACAAAACTTCTCCTTGTGAAAAAATGCCCCCACCTACTTCATCCTCTTGCTTATATAACACCTGGGGATTATTTTCTAGTTGTTTCATGTACATATGCCTTGTGTTGCTAATTAAATTGTAAACTCCCAACCTGCAGGGGACAGATCTTCCATTTCCTTTGCAACCTTTTGCAGCACTGCAGTCACCCAATAAATGCCCTCTGCATGAATAAACCTGTAGAGATAAAAATACTTTATGGTATTCCCATTTATTGGTTTCATGCTTTTATTTTGCTTTGTGATAGGACTGTACGTTATAAGCTTCTACAGGGCAGAGAAAACGGCTTGGTGCTTTCCTTTACACTCAGCAGGCACCACGCAAAATTTGATCCTTGCACGCCTTTTTTGATGCTCTGGCATACTGGGGTGTTTTTGTGCATCGAAGGACCAAGGTTGTCAGCCTCTCTGCAGCGAAGAATGTCCCTTCCCTTCCAGTGTAAGCTCCCATGGCGCCTAGGACAGGCTAGATTACTGCGGAAGCCCCGCCGTGCTTATTTTTATTGCTAAGGAAGACGACTGCGAAAATGGCAAGCTCTTGCATAACCCAAGACCCTGCGAGGAAATGAGCAAAGTGGAAGGGGATCTGAAGGCAGGTCAGAGATGGCCTGGATGAGAATGCAGCCCAAGTCTGACAAGCCGCACTCGAGCCGCGCGCCGCCCGCAGTCCCGGGGCCCGGGACGCAGCCCGCCCGCCCGCCCGCCCCGCGCGCCCGCCCGCCCCGCGCGCCCGCCCGCCCCGCGCGCCCCCGGGAGCTGTCCAGACGGCCCCGCCCGCGCCTACCTGGGCACTCACCCGCGCCGCGCGGCCTCTCCTCCTCCCACCCAGGCCGCGGGAGCCCGGCTCGGGCCTGCCCCGCCGCCTCCCCGCCTCCGAGGAGCCCCGCGGGCCGCGCGCCCGCAGCTTCCACCGGCCGCCCGCCCGACCGGCCAGACAGCGCCAGGCGCCCGGGGGCGGCGCGGGCAGGCTCGGCGGGGTTCGGCGGGCTCGCCCTCGGCCGGGCGCCTGCAGGGGGCGCGGGGACGGCCCCGCCCCGCCGCCTTCCCTCTCCCTCCCGGCTCCCTGGATCCGCGCCGGGAGGAAATGATGTGTTGCTGCCTGGTTAATCACAGCTCCAGACACTCATTGGCCGAGCGCTCCGCAGCCACTTCCTCCTCCTCCTCCTCCCGCTCCTCCCGCTCCGGCTCCTGCTCTTTGCAGCCGCCGCCGCCGCCGCAGCCTCCCCCTCGGCGCTGGGGGAACTTTTCTACTCTCTGTGACCGTCTCCCGCACCGCCCCCGGGGGCCAGCCCCCAGCCTGCCCGCCCGCCCCGCCCGCGGCCGGCCTCCCAGCCCGAGCCTCTGCGCCTCGGGAAGTTTATTCCGCCCGCCCTCCTCCCCTTCCTCCTCCTCCTCCTCACCCCGCCTCCCCTCCCTCCCCCGGCTCTTTCCCCCGGGTGGCTGCCGCTGCTGCCGCTGCCGCTGCCAGCCTGCTCCTCGGCCAGCCGCGCCGGCCCGAGGGCTGGGACGCCCGCGGCTCCACGCACCGCCCCGCTGCAGCCGCCGCCGCCGCCGCCGCTCGGGGCCGGCCCTCGGCCCCCGGCCCCGGCTCCGCAGAGTTCCGGGCTCCCTCGCCGGCTGCGCCGCCCCGCCCCGCCCCGCGCCGCGCCGACCTGCAGCGCCCGGCTGCCTCGCACTCCGCCTCCCCCGGCTCAGCCCCCGGCCGCCGCGGGACCAGAGGTGAGGGCAGGTCGCCGCCGCGCCTGCGGGAGCCGGGAGGACCGAGGGAGGAGGCAGCCTAGCGGGAGAAGAGGCAGGGGTTGGCGGTGGGAGGGTGGGCGTCTGCGGTGCCTCCCCCTCGCTTTCATTCCTTTCTCCCCCAAGCCCGAGCCCCTCTCGGCGGGGGAAGCAGCCGCGGAACGAAACTGTCTTGCTCTGGGCCTGAACTGCTGGTGGGATATGGGGGACGGCAGAGGCTTGGAGCGGGGGGCGCGGGGTTGCCTGCACTGGTGTGTGCTCTGTGTGTGTGTGTGTGTGTGTGTGTGTGTAGTGAACTCCTTCAGGGTGTGCACCTCCGACTTGTAAATCGATCTGGCCGCCGGGCCACGGGGCTCACCTTCCTCGCTGAGCTTGGTAGAGTAAAGAGATGGGCGAATCACCCCCACCCTCAAAATATCCATCTCTTCCAAGAGGAATTTTCTGCTGGAGAGACAGCCAATAAACTCTGCTCAACTCCCGCCCTCCCTCAGTTCTTCCTAGCTGCAGTTTCAAAAAGCTTCAAAGCCAGGAATGTGGGATTCATCTTCCGATCCCCAGAAGGCAAATGTGGTTACAGATGTTGCACGGTACTTTGCCAAGTTTAAAACCCTTCCTTCAACACTGTAACCAAAACAGTGAGGCTAGAACCTTGGGCGCGCTGGGGAGGGATGTGGGCCTCTGGGGCCGCTGGATTCAGTAACTTCTGTCGGGTTCTAGACCGGCTCAGCTCTGTCCAGTTTGTGCCAGATATGTCTCCCACCCTCTCCTCACCTCCTCTTCCCCCTGGAGGTTTGAATGCTCCTTGCATGGGAGAGAAGCTACTTAGGGAAGAAAACATTCCACTTAGTAGTAGCAGAAAAGTCTTGGTTGAAAAGTTGTCATTAATTTGGCTTTTGGAGGGAGGTAGCAAGGTGATACCATGGATTCGTTAATTTTATTGGGCTTTTCTTCCTTGTGTGAGGGGTGTATGATAGGCGTTAGATGATGGGAAAAGGAACCGGTTCCATGCACGTGTTAATGTATTTTTGAAAAGAGACCCTTGAATTGAGACATAACCCAGTGGTTTTAAAGAATCCTGTCCCAGAGATGCAGATTGCTCTGACAGCCCAAGGGAAGGCGGTGGCAAAAAATAGACACCACCTCCCTTTTCCCCAAAAAAATTCTTCCTGGAAAGGTGGTGTTAAGAAATTTCAGAGATGGGCTGATCCAAGTGGCGGGCCTTAAATGGAAACACTATAGTATGTCCTGGCACTTGTCTCTGGAGGTGGGTTGCTGGCCAGGGGCCCGGGCTTGGGCAGCCAGCAGACACTAGGCTTGTGCTGACCTCAGACACTGCCTTGCCATGTGGCTTTACAGTGTGCAGACTGCTTAAATATGAAATAAGGGCCTCATCCATTTCACTGGTGGGGACATGGGTCAGGAGGTTATCTTAGGCTTGGATCGGACCTGGATCACTGTATTCTCAGATCAAATCACTTATTTTGTGATTCATTTGTTTTTGTTTTCTGTCTTGGAATGAAAAAACAGAAGTCTTTTGAAGCTGAAATGTAGACCTTAAGTTGATGTAATTGGGAGTCGGATAATACTATCACTGCTGTCACCCCTTATACAGATACTCACAGTGTTCAGATAAATTCTGGTTAGATCACAAAGACCAAGGCTTGAGATGGGTATAGATTGAGTTCATTCTCTCCTTTTCCAGGTGTATTAGTGAGTTTTA